GAAAAGTTCTACTATAATTAGAATTATCACAGTTGTAGCTCTTATCATTAACCAGGACACCATTTTTCTCTTGTGATTTTTTGAAGGATATTAAAAACCTTTTCCAGAAGGTTTCTCATTCAAGGCAGGACTTCTATATAGTCAGATCCATCCTGGCTCTTCTATCTCTTAAATCCAGCTGCTTCATACTGTTATTTAAGTGTTAGATCTAACTAAGCAAAGGGAAAATCCTTCTTCACTAACCCCACTCATTGATTCTTTTTTCCCACAGTTGGTCAATTAACTGTTTGAGAATAAACAGAACTTTCTTATAAATGCCTAAGAGATTTGTAGAAATAAATTTTTACCAGTACTTTTATACTTTGAAATAAAACTGGTAACTTGGTAAATTACAACACCAGTACTTATTCAGAACTAGAATCATCAGAATTCTTTTCCCCCATAAAAGCACTAATCAAAAAGCATTTTTATCACTTACTCTCTACCCCTCTAGCATCTTCCTTCCTTAATTTAAAATGTTATTGTTCCCATTCAGCATAGCCCCTACCTTCTTCATTTTCAGGTCTATAAAATGCACATTAAAAGAGCTGTTTACATGGCAAAATGTCCTCAGGCCAGTGGATAAAATACTATTATGAACCCACTCTTACTATGAACTGCCCAGAGCATTGCGTTCTCCCTTGTTCATCCCATGAACATTCCTCACAAAAGTTTTAAAACATTTAAAATACACCTAATGGCTCTGTTAACAGATGTATTCTACATGACAGGATTTAGCCTGGTTGAGTTTACCTACTGACTGATGCACTTAAGCTTCCTGTTCTGAGCACAGTCTGTGAGGCTACAATGCCTCATTGTTTGGCTCCTTATAGGTGATAATGAAATTGGCATTCAGTTCCCACTCCTGAATGGCTTCCATGAGACTTTGAAAAAGTTGTTTGCTACTCCTGGTATTATATAACCATCTTAGTTTCAGCATGCAAAAAGGCATGCTCTAGTCAAATACCTTATCTCCAGGATTATATTAATAAGTAAACATGAGTCATGATGGGCATCAGATATGTCTGTGTCTATACATGATATTCAGTTAGGACTCTTAAAAATTGAGTTAAATCTGTTAGTTAAATGGATTGTCAATACATTACCCTATGACTTGGGCAGCCCTTCATTTACTACACAAATGGCCCAGTTGCACTTTTGCCTGTACACAAGTTAACATTACACTGGAAACTGAAGAGAGGATCACAAGCAGATTGCATTACCTGATAGAAATCTAGCCTTGTCCAGCTAAGCTTTAAATTAAGATTTTAGAAGTGCATGATCAGTGCCTAATAAGCCAGGCTGAAAAAGCACTGAGCTTTCTGATCACAGTCCAGCAAAATACTGAAACATGCTTAACCATAAGGACACAAGTAGTCCCATAGATTTCAGTGGAATTAAGTGGTTTCATGCCTACATCTATCAGTAGCAGAATTCAGCACTTGCCAATGTAGTCACTAAAGGAAGCTCATAAGCACTGAGCAATGGATACAATGACCTTGAGTGTGTTATCTACCATAAGAATAGAAAGTAACTACAACATAGTACTCTTTATGTGAGATGTGAGTGGTTTGAAAATAATTGATAGTATTTTCTAAGTGCAGCTCAGTCAGAACTATAATATTTTATGAGGGAAAAAGAAAGGATTCTTGTCTTATTAAGTTAAAATGAGAGAAACAAAGGTTCTGACAACTTAAATTATACGTACGTATTTCACTGCAAAATATCAGACATAATTGAAAATTTACAATGTCCTTGACAACTTAACAGATAGAAATTGTGTGTGTGGTCCAGCAAACTGAATTGTAATTATTTCAATGTTCTGGACAATCACATTGATATTTTATTGCTCCTTCTCGTTACATTTATGAACTGGAAGTATTAAGAAATGCAAAGCAGCTCCTATGAACATATTTACCCCCACACAAAAATCTCTGCCAGATATTTCTACAGGTTATGAAATGATTTAAACCTTCAGCAACTTATTTTAATCTATCAGGATTGATAGAGTATCTTACCAGGAAAAAAGGATATAATAGGGCTCTTCTAATCGTGAAATATATGGAACCATGAACAGTTTGTTTATCATCAGGCCTTCTCAAAAGGACCCTATTTTTCCACAGTCTTTTGTAATTTCTTTTATTATTTAACATGAAATTGTTATATGAATTCCATGTATAAACTCATGCCCTTTGTGCTTAAAATGGGATTTTAAGCCTTTAGGACCAACTGAGCATCTCAGAATATCCCAGATATCTACCTCATGTTCAAAGTGCCTGAAAACACTAGCATATCCTTTCTTGGCTTGAAATGTCTTGTGCTACTGGCATTCCTGAAATATTCTGGCCTGGGCAAGGGACATTACTCCCACCTGAGATTTCCAGAAAACCAGTGATTAGACCACCTGGCACCTAAATCCAATAGTTGAACTAAAGGCATGCTGAATGACAGGATTAGGCTCCTTGCAGACACACAGTCATGGTGGTGACTGACTTCACTTTGTTAACTAGCTGGATGAGAAAGCATTTACACGAGATGTGGAAGATTAGGGATCAGATCACTCATATTTGCATACAGGGTCTCGAGTTTGAATTCATGTCTGAATTCAGTCTCAGACTCATCAAGGATGAGACTGGATCAAGGACTCCTACCTTTCAAGCATCTTTTAGGAATCACTCAGGCCAAGTGTCTCTCAGCCTCCTTAGCTAAAGCTCTTCTAATCTGTAAAGTAAAATAAGATTTTAGTCAAAGCAGAACTTGGGTCACTCTTCTTGCAGACAAGTCTCCAATATGGCTGAGGAGCCATCCCCTAAGTACATTCAAAGAACATTTTATGCATCAAATGAAAAGAACACCTCCAACAGCACACATTGGGTGTGGGGGGTGGGGGGTGCATGTGTTGTGTGTTGGCCTGTGGGTTCCCAAATGCCACAAGCCTTGCCAAGACAAGGGTTGCCCCTGAGAGGTTGCAGTACATGGACAACTCACACTTGGCCATAGTCAGCCCTGAGAGGCTGCAGTGCACAGGCAAAATACACAAGGGTAGGGGTAGTAATTATAAGAACAGCAGTAGAAGACCAGTAAGAAGCTCAGAGCTTCAGACCAAAATCTGCATGCACACCACCAGCTTCCTGCACCACTCCTCACCTCACTGGAGGAATTTGTACGGACCAAGTGTTACCCTTACTAAAAATGAGAGAACTTGAGACTAAGAAGTGTGAGGAAAGGTGTTTGCCCGGAGTTGAGCTTGGGAAAAGAAGAAGAAAAGAGTTTATTTGTTTAATTGTTTATGTTCTTTTCTTCTTAATACACAAAATATTGATCAGAAATTTCTGTTAATGGACAATAAATTAAGTACAAATTCCCCAAGTTCATTTTCTTCATGGTGTTCACCTGAGCAAAAAGATCAAAGTCCTCCACAATTGTATGTCCAGTCTCAATCTATCTCCATGAAGTATCATCTCACGGAAGGAGACCATGGAAGTAACCACCATTAACACAGAAACACTGATGCATTCATTCCTGTCCATATTTGTGAGTCAAAAAATATTAGACTCAACATACCTCCACAACAAATACGTGCAAGACATGTAGGCTCACTGAGATGTTTCTTTCAGGGTTTCTACACCACTTGCAATAGGTGGATAAAGCAAGTGGTGTGTTGCCAGAAACATGTGTCAAGCATCCAGGGCTACAATACCTGAACTTGTCTATCTCATGGATTCATGCATCTATATCTCACCTCTTACAGAAAAGACCCTAATATTGAGTGATTTTAACTTTCCTTGGCCTAAAAATTTAATCAGGTTTCTTGCTAAGATTCTCTAATTATGACTTTCTCAGTCAACTTTAACCTTTGTTTGAACCTTTATTTTTTCTGCAAAACAAGAATCAGTTATGTTTGCTAGTTTAGTACTGACAATCATGGCCTTGTTTATTTTATACTGCTGTCAGTATCTTTTTTAAAAAAGCAGCATAGCAAAATAAAAAAAAAAGTAATTCAGACAAATAGCATTTTTACATTGACAGGAAAGTTTAAAGTCATTGAGGCCAAAAAATTCCCACCAAGAGGTTTTGGCTCCAGAAAGTGACTAACTCCTTTTATGCAAATAAACAGATATCTATCTGTTCTTGCTTCTATACCTCAATAAAATCTGTAAGCAGCTTAAAAGTTTCTGTGCAATATAACATGAAGCTGTGAAAAGCAACATACCATTTCACTTCTTGTAGTAATTTCAACTGCAGACTTTAGAAGACCAGTTGTATTATAATAAACAAACCATACAAGTCTGATCTGATTGTGCAGACAGTAAGCAGGCACGCTGTTCGTCTTAATGTATACTAAAAATTCTTGGCACCCCAATGCAAACAAACTGCAATGAAAAAAATAGCAGCATGAGCAATCCTCCAAATCTTGCTTAAGATCCTCTTCATTGCCCCATGATCAGTCTTCCCTTCTTCTTGTACTGAAATGCATACAATTATTTATATAGGTCTGAGACAAGGAAGAAAGCAAAACTCTCTCACTGAGAATATTTTCAAGCAGTCTTTCAGAGGTTTAATGCAAACACAGTAACATCTCCCTTTGAATAATATTCATTTTGTGCAGAGGCAGCTATATACATGCTATGATACATTTGTGATCACTTCTAGGGAACAACTGTATCAAACTTTCATGGTAGCTACATGTTCGGTATTAGAATTCAAGCTGTCATTTTAATGAGTAAAACGGCCAGGCAGTCAAAACTGCCGTAGCTTGAATTTGGTGAGAGCAAACAGAATAAGTCACTAGTAGAAAATTTTCTTTTATAAAGAACTTCTGTTTGATTTAGGGGGTTATTCTAGCAATGTATTTTCCCCTAAGAAATCCACTGCTCTGAATGCCTCTGAAAACTGTTTTAGTGCCAGAAATACTTTTACATTTAAAGTTTAATTATTGCCCTCACTTCTATCTTCTTACGCCAGACAAAACTTTTGGTAGTCAGTGGGAGTTCTGTATATCTAAAGTCACCTCTGCAAAAAAAACACAACCAGTTAAAGATATACTGTCAAGTAGATTTGAAATAGCATTTAAAATGTTTCTGTAATTGGAACTATAAAGAAAATTTTAACTGTCTAAAATACAGTTTCTATAAATGGCAATATGTTTCAAAAATTGTGTTATCATTTTCTGTGTTAAAAACTTGAGATTTGTCCTTATGGCAATAATTACTTGGCAATTCCAGTTAACACAAAATAGGATTTTTTGCTGTCTGTGTAGCAAACACAGCATTGATGCCTCTGTTTCAGATTTCAATATTCCAGATCTTTCAATCACAACCATTTAACTGATGATTAAGCTGCCACTCTGTCAGGACTCCTCTTTATTTTCCTTCACTTCAAATTCACTTAAAGTACTTTATCAAGTTACAAACCCAATATAATTTCTTTTCTTAACTTTTCTTATGGTCTCATCCAAACTAAATTAGTCTATAATTTCGTCTTCCGTGGATGAAAATTTGGATAGGAGACAAGATTCACTGAAATGTTCTGCATCTGTTCACAGTACATTTGTGTGTAATTTATCATTACATCATAAAACATAGTAGACATTCAGTTTTGAAAACTGAACACTCAGTTATTGGTACAGTAAACGCAGATAGCAAGTGTGTTGCAGATAGTGCTCGAGAGGACTTTCCTGATGCTTTTGCTCCTAAGTAACACTTTTTACCATTAATTAAGTAACATTGGGTATTAATTTTGTTTTTTCCATGGCAATTCCTGGAAATATCATATTTACGTGTGGAATATATATTTATATAATTATAAATAAATATAGAATAGTTTGGATAGTCTTGCATGTGTGAAATTGACTGTTTCCCAGCAATCGTTTGGAGATAGAATTCTGTAAAAGAATATAACAAAAATTCTGGTCGTGCAGCTTTTTAAAATCAATTTTCCTCCAGTAACAAATCATGAGGATTTAAAGCATAACACATACATACAGTTACAGCAAAATAAACTCAGCAATTTTTAACCATGTTTGGTTTTTATCTTGACTGATACATTTTTCTTGCCACTTCTTTGAGATTCCATTTAGTGAGATATAACCTATTTCTTCTACAATATGCAAGTTACCATCGTCATGAAGAAAATTTACAGTCAAGAAGAGAAAATGACATAATACCACAGGAATAGTTTCACGTTGACAAGAAAGATTTTCCTCCAAAGCAGAACATTGACTTGACTACTTAAAGATGCTTCATAAATAAAACACTTTCCTAAGAAATATCTAAGGTTGCAACACCCAGAAAGTCCCAGAACTCCCAGAAAATTATATTTCTAATGCCACACAATGACTAAGCTTTCTAAAAATGGTTTTGAAAGAATGAAGGTCAAAAGGAACAGCAAGAAGACACAAATACACTATGTGGTTTGCCTTTCCTCATCAAACAGTACAGCTATACAGGTCCTTGGCAGATACATGGCCTGTCCCTTGTATTGCACCATATTGGGATGAGTTATACCTACATCATTTTCTCATAGCCTTCCAATATCCTGTCCAACTTGTAATCCTTGCACTATTTGACCTCTCAAGAAATCTCCGTTCTACTCACCAAACACACTCACTCTCACCCTGTCTTCTGCATTTTTCTTGATTCTTCTGCCAGGAAACCAAAGCTTTTCCATGACCCAGCAGCTGGATTTAGAAGGGGATCAGTTAAAATCTAGCACTGTTTATAAGGACAAATGATGATCTTTGTACATTCAAAAACAACCCCTTGTAGCCTCTTAACCTTGTCCCAAAGTTGCATTTCTCCTCGGCTAGGTCAACTTAACAAAACATGACCAAGTCATGTCAATGATATTATAAGCCAAGAACACAACAAGAATTTTGAAAAAAACAGAGCTGCAATGACATTTTCAAAATGTTTAAATGTTTATTTTAATCTGGTTGCTGACTAAATTTCCCAGGGAAGTTTAAGACTGAAGTGACATGAGGTGTACAAACCTATTGGAAGTTTGCTTTCTTTCTGATGACATTGGGGATTGTCTGTAAATTCCTAGTATTTGATAAGCCTTGCATTGATAATATCTTAAAAAAATGACTGAAAGAAATCATGGAAGAAGAACAGTCCTGAGCTAAGAGCAGTGTAATGGCCTGAGGAGAAATAGGGTCACTTTTGTGACATATAAGCAAACATATAAGGATGTTGTTTTTATGGATCTTCAATCTTTCCACCCCACAGACTGAGAAAGATGATAGATCGTCCACAACAGATTTTGGGCCCATCATTATTTTGTGTCGCAGTTATGTCAAGTACAGTGAGTTTACAATCTCAGTTGAGACCTCCAGGACATAGTAATATATACAAACAGACAATAAGAAAAAGCTACTAGCATAAGTAAAAATTAAATTTTTGTACTGTGGTAATCATTTAATGAATGAAATTACTAAGACAAACTTCTCTATGTCCTTTTAGGATTGTCAAAGTTTGAATTACTTTCCGAAATAAACATTCCTCACCATTTCACCCTTCTTTAATTCTTCCAGAATTCAGCAAATATTAACTGTTTTGTCTGAAATATTGGATGTTTACTTCAGGATGATTCAATTATTACCATCTGAGAGATTCTGATGTCTGCAAAGCTTCAATTGAATAAGACCAGTCTAACCTCTGAAAAATATCAATTCCACGATGCTGAAGAGAAGATTGCAATAATACAACAGATCCTCACCGAGGATTCAGTTGATACTGAGCGTGTTCAGTCCCAACAGAGCATTTACCTTTTAGCTGAAGTGCTGCAGAGGCCAGTATACTCTCTTTCAAGCTTTAATTGATTTGCTGTATTTGTTGTATTTCCCACACTTGCAGTCAGTTACCACTGGGGGGAGAGGATAAGCAAACCAAAGGCAACTAAATTTTCATATACACGAATCAAATCCTGCCAATCCTAAGAACAACGAGACTTCATATCCCTTCTTCCTCCTAGGTTTAAACCTATTTTCCTAGTTTGTAACAACCTTCTCTGGTATTGTGAAGGAGTGTGCTAAATTTCAGGAATGCCAAAATTTCTCTTTCAGCAGAATATTGTGGGTGCAGGGGTGGAGATGGTGGTAGAGTGTCAAAATGAAAATTTATAACAGAGTTGTGGCACAACTTCAGTTACTGAGTGATTACTGCCATTCCTTAGTAACCCACTTTCCTCCTCAAGCTATGCCGTTAACATTCTGGAGTATTAATTAGTGGCTTTGAGGTCATCTCCAGCACTTCAACTATGTCAGGATTCCTCAAAATTTGGAAAGAAACAGCACGAACCTTGTAAGAATCTAGAACCAGATGCAGAAGTAGACCTGTTTTGATACAATCACATCAGAAAAAAAAAAAGGTTATATTATTTCTAATCAAAATGTCTAAATTGTTAACAAATACTTCAGCAAAATGTATATTTATCCTACAGGGCAAAGGAGTTAGAGAGGTGTTCTCTCTTGTAAAGAGGCCATATTGTTCTCCACTTCAGTGTGTGATCCTCAGGGTCTTCTAAGAATATCCGACAGACAGACAGCATGGAAAGGCAGGGATGAAAGGTCTCTATAAATAATCCTTTGTGCCAACATTGGAAGCGCAATTTCTGTGGCTGCTTCAGCCTTCTGGATCTTAGTGGCTCATGTTCTTCCAAGGGTAGTGTATTGGACACGCATTTTGATTTCTAAATTAAATGCTTGGTATGCTCCTGAGGACTTCACAAAATCACCTTTCCAAGCAGCAACTGAGGGTGCATGCACTCCATGAGGCTGTGACATCTTCAGAGACCACAATTACTTTGAGCCAGTTTTCTAGTAGCTGCTGCCTCCCACAAGTTGAATAGCTCCAGATACTACGGTTCCACTCATTCTGCTTTTCATCCATAAATTGAAGTTCTGCATTTGGTACCCTTGCCAGACATCCCAGCCTGGTATTATGCATTTGAATGCCTCACTCTATTTCTAATGTATATGAAAGACTAGTGTCTGATTTTTTAAAGATTTTAGGGATTTTTGTTTGTTTGTTTTTTAATGTGACTGAAAGATCACCTGTTAAATGAACCAGAACAATGAAAGTATAAAAGAAAGGTTTCACCTGCTGTTGTATGGAATTACTGCTTGCCACCACAGTAACATGATTTTGGGATAACTAATGAATGAGCTGTGATGTGATAAACAAAGCATTAAGAATGTTAGGATACAAAAAGATTAATGGTAAATTCTGCCTTTCATCTCTCTGACCATGATTTTGAAATTATTTTTAAAAATATTGTATTAAACTTGTAGAAATGTTTTTTCTTCACCCTGAGAAGTACCTTAAAAATCAAGGGATGAATATCTAAACTATTTTCAGTTACTTTAATAAAAGTAATTACTGTTTTGAAAAAGATAGTTCACCTGTAATTTTCTGACCTACAGGAGTGGATTACCGCCATCTCCCAGTGTTTTCCAGTTGTATGCACAAAGATATATGTGAATTCAAGGGCAGGTCCACACTACACTATAGTGAGCTGGACCTGAATAAATCTATAATTTTTTTATTTTATTTTGTTTCTATCCTTTTGGTGTTTTATCCAGCACACTCGTATCTATGCTCTATGATAAACCATGTGTTGCTAACATTACTTTTGATCTTCCATTCAGCCTGGAGAGGCTCAAAATGAAACCAAAGTTGAGATATGCAACATGGATTTACAGGAAAAGTATGCGTAAAGGCACTTTATATATACTATTTACCCATTTTTTTTATCAATTAAGTAATAAAAGTAAGACTTTGTTTTTCTTTCCCAAACTTTAACTAAAATTATTTTAACAGCTCATTTTGTATAATCTGGAATAAGAAATTCAAGGAGGACACTAATCTTCTTGGTTACTTCAAGTCTGAAGTACCCTTTTCAGATGAATAACAAACTGAATTTATTATTAAAATATATATATATGTGCATGAGAAAGATGACTTCAGCACTTTCTTGAAATTAACATTATTCTACCTGCAATTATTTAAGCAATTTCCCAGGAGATAGCTAAAATACACATGGATATTATTAAAAAAAAAAAAAACCTTCTCAAAGATAATATTATTTGTAATCATTCTATTTACTCAGCCACAGCTTATCTGATTTAAGTTGGTGAGATCTGAATATTATTTCACTCTAGCATAATTTCAGCTGCTGAGTTACATATTATATTTTCTTCTGACAGGTTTAACCCCTTTGATTTCATGACAATTATGTAAAGCAATCTGTTTTGCTACAGCATTGTAAAGTTAAGTTCTAATTTTGCAGAAATTCACAGGAAGAGAACATGAATATTACAAGAGTATAGTATAGCATTAAAATTCTGTAGAATTAAAAAATATTAACTTATTTTAAAAACCAATAACAATCTGGGGCAAATCATTAATTATAATAGGGTCTGGCACTTGTATAAAAAGAAATGGTTGGAAGTATGTACGCTGATTTTAAGTATAAAAAGGAAGAACAATTTTGCAGCAGGAAGCTACAGATGAGACATTTTTGGGTAATAAACTTATAAAAAAACCCAGTTGAAATAACCTCCAGGTGAGAGGATAAGTTTGCATCTGTCTGGGAATTAAAGGAATAAAAGTCTTGGGCTCTTCTACCTACTACTGAACACTTGCATAGCAGTGATACAACTGTACTGGGGTTATCTCCCAGCAAACCACTCTTGATTCAGTAAAACTTGTACAGACAAGCTTTATTTTTAGCATGGACTTGAACCACTCTGTTTTAATGGGAACACTTACATATACTTTTATTAGACTGAATGAGAGTTCTCTCCTGAATACAGACTCTGTTCCCTATTAAGACTGAATTTTGAATTACATAAAGGACATACACTGTTGCTACAAAACAAGTTTACAATCCCTCCTCACTCCCTGTATCTTACATTTTGAAATCCCTTAAAAAAGAAAGGTTTCATTGATGAGCTACCAGCTGGCACCATGAGCTTGGAAGGAACTGCTTTCTTAACCACTGATTTGAATCAAATTCTGGCAGGAGGATGCAAGTATCATATATTTTCAACCACATTTCTTCTTTTGTTTTGGTTGATTTGTTTGGTTTTCAGTAGAGGATTTGAAATAAAAATTCTCCTGAACACAGAAAAAACCTGAAACACAGATTATAAAGGAAAAGGATGATGCAGCTCAAAAACCTGACAGGCATTTCAGACTGCACCTAGGTGCTAATTGTAAAAGCAAGGCATAGAGTTTTCCAGAATGAAGAAAGAAAAGCTGCCTCAAGGGGCAAGAACAAACATTTCTCTACTTATGGAATTAGATTATGTACCAGAAAGTTGAAAAGAGTTGGAGGAAGACTAGGATTCTCTGCAGACTGTTCTATACCATCAACAGAATTATTTACCATGGAACTGATCCACAAAGGGGTTTAGCATCATTGTCACAATGCTTATCTTTCCATCACCTCAAGGAATTGATAGCTGTGAACAAGGCAGTTCAGTTTGTGTTCCAAGGTGTTGCAGAGTTAAGCAACTAAAAAAGAATTCCACAAAAGCAGTGCATCATTTAGAAGGCAATGTTTTTAAACCCTAAAACAAGAATGTGATTCACAGTTCTTCAAGATTTTTCTGGGAATTTCAAGGGGTTTTTTCTTGGAATTAAAATGTATGGTTGATGGTTTCTCACAAAGCAGAGCTAGAAGATGTTGCAAAGTAGCATGGGAGATTTTTTAAAATGTTTGCATTTTTGGTGACAAAATTTGGCTTTCCTACAGAACATGATGCATAAACTGCAAAGTTACAGTGATTCTCACAGTCTTGAATGAATTGGTCTGTTTTTAGGGAGAAAAACTGTAAACTGAGCACACTCAAAACAAAAGGGCAGTTGAAAAGATGTGTCCAATAACACACTTTTTACTTTTAAAAATGGAAACCTATCTATAGCCCATGAGATTTGAAAAAATTAATGTTGCAGTTAACTTGTCTGAATGTTTGGAAGGGAAAAGTGCTTTAAATAAAACAATTCTAAGCAATTGCACATGTTCTTTTTAACATTCTTCTAATCAATTAGTTGCTGTCAATTGCTTTTCACAGAAGGCTGACTCTGGATCAGGAACAAAAATGTAGTGCTCACTTACAATCAGACAGTATTCTTTCTCAGTACATCTGATGTAATTTTTGAAATATGTAATGTTCAGATACCTGATTAGAAGTCTTAGTAGTAACTCTCTCAAATTAAGACTTTAAGGATTATGGCTAGACAGGATATGGAATCATATTGCGAAATACTCATAGACTCTCACCACTCCTGCGTAGTCTGTGCAAATTCTACTGTGCGTAATGGAGGAGTTTGGAAACTTGCAGAAAAAAAAAATTACTAAACAAGATAAAGCAACTGTGTTATCTCTAGGATGAGACATTGTGCATACCTAGCTTGAGTGGTTGGAGTAATTATGCCCCGCCACTCAACTGTATATTTCCTGCAGCACTTCCTTCTATCACAGTCAATGGAATTTGTCAGGATCAAAATCAGGTCACCTTCAGCTATGTTGAGTCTGGCCAGCTTAAGCAAGGAATGACAAATTAACAAAGTAAACTCAGAGAAATCACATATGTCTCTCCCTAATCAGAAAAACAAACATCCTCTTCACAATTTCTTCATACACTGAGAGTACAGTGATTCAGTAAATGACACATCAGGTAGAATGAAACTTTGGAGTATGTATCAGTACACTAGGGGAAATGGAGACTGTCAGGACAGCTGGGCACATATGATTTGACAACGCTTTTCCCTCAATGCTTCATCCTTATTGTAATATGCAGATAATGCCAGCATACACAAGCAGTACATTTATAGGGATCTTTATTTGGCCAAAACTCTGTACAAGGCACATGCCTGAAAATATACCTACATCATAATATGGCAAAATACCATCTTGGAGAAAGAGAATGGACTTCATTCTCTGAGTTATTTAATCTTTGATATCTACCCCAAACTCACAACTGCATTTTGATTTAGGATAGTTCTGAGCTATGCCAAGTGTTACTAAGTCAAATTCAGTGAACTGGCGAGAAATATACAAAACAATCCAGCTACAATCCTACAGAAAGACCCACTCTGAGCATATTTTTTGATTGGAAAGGTTAATCCCTATGTCTGTGTTCCTCCCCTCACCTCTTGCAAGTTACTGTTTCTTTCTTGTAGTCTGGAAGCAGAATGAATAAAATTTAGACTAAACAGATTTTCATCAGACTAACCAAAAATATGAACAGGTCTTGCTGGAACTTCTTTGGAGTATTTCATTATCCCAATTACCCCAAATTTACAGCCCTGTAACTAGACATTATTTCTGGCAGGTATTGTCACTATCTGGAGATTTGCATATTGCACAACAAAAGGGATACAATCCAATCATGGAGTAAACATGATCCAAAACTGTTGTTTAAGGCATCATATTTGAAGTAGAAAATTGTGCTGTAATCCTTTGGCATAGAAATCAGCCACCCCAGATTCCCTATTCCCTCCCATCTCTTTCAGCAGTTCTTCCTCCAGCCTCTCCCATGGTCTGTCACTTCATGTGGCAGATAAGATAGACTTAGATTAAATCATTCATTTCCACAGGGAAACACTGAAAGGATAAGTAACTGACATCTTATAATGAGAACAAAAAGGAGTAAATGTGATAACTTCGTATAAGATACACTTCTACACGAGACTAATAAGGATAAAATGATATTAAATGACTCCTACATAACTTATGTGTAATTTGCAACATCATGCAAGGCTCTACATACAGAGATGGTATGAACTCATTTCAGTGAAAGATATCTGAGAAATACAAATAATATGGAGTCTTAGATTAGAAAACATACTCTTTTTCATGGATTCTCTAAAATAAAGGAAGGTAGGGGTAGTTCTACTGGTTTGTGACAGCTATCTAATATGAAAAACTATCTTAGATGTAAAATACCACAAAACTGATGGCCTTTCCAGAGGTTGCCTACATATATGTTCAAATAAACACACAAAAATGAGATAAGAGGAAAAAAAAGATGGTAAATGTAAATAGTTATTTATATCCAGACTCTCCAACTCAAGCTGCCTGTACAGAATAGAAAACAATGGCATATTCACAGACACCATACTGGTTTAGAAAGCATTTAAAAGGTGACTGGACATTCAACTTAGTCTCTCATTTTTTGGATTATAGTAATATCTGGATACAATCTACAAACTGTCAATTTCAGCATCAGAAAGTATTATGAGCCTGAGCTTTTGTCAGTGGCCCAATGATGTTATGTTCCCCTTTTTTTCCTGACAATGAAGTGAAATAGAAATCATGCTATGTCTGGCCATATGATGTAGATTTCTTCAGATACCAAAGTGTTTTTGAACTGAAATAGAGTCAAACAATTTATGCTCATTTCCACAGGGCAACCTGTGCTCCTTTTACCAAGCCAGGTAAACATTTCCTTGAAATTTTCACACAATAAGAAATGTTTTATGCTCTGGTGCATGAATTTAAAAGGAAAAAAGGTTTCTTTCCATTCATACTACACATTGCTTTCTGTCCATTTTCAGGCACCTGGGTCTCGCCATCACACAAAACATGACACGAAAAGAACCAACAGTGATTGAAACAACTGGAGATGGGACAAACTTGTGCTGGTGAATTTTGTTTCATGAGCTGAGGCCTGAGAAAGAAGTATATTAAAATGAGTCACTATAGGAGTGAGCAGTTCAGCTTGTATGTGTGATTCATTGCAAAAGAAGCTGGATGTCTGTATATGCCAAGGCCTCCTTTGAGAAAATAATGTATTTTATGATTTATGTTGTTTCTCTATGTAAGTATTGGGAAATACTTTAATCTCAAACAGATCAGTTTTCCAGACTTTAATTTCTTAATAAAGCATTAATAGGCAAAAATATGCAATTCAGAAAGTTGTCCACCACAGCACTTAACTTGAAACAGGAATCTAAGATTATCAAGCACTCACATGATTTGAGCAATACTGCTTCTTTTAAAGTGTATCTGAGTTATAGCTCTTGGAAACATCTGTTTACTGAAGTACAGTGTTTGGTAACCTTAGCAATACTTTATTTATTCATTTAATGCCCCACAGGTCAACGCCTCAAACTTGTCAAACTGAGGGTAGTTTCTTAAACTGCAGTTAAGTTCAATAATGAAAAATTGAATTATATTGTTGGGTCTTGAATGGTGCTACATATGTTCAATAATAAAGAACTCCAGTTTCTATAAAGCTGTTAATCTAGCATATTTCAGCCACACTTAATCAAAATACACAACAAAACAAAAAGCCCTTGGAAACAAAATTGATTTGTCTGGTTGACTAGATCTGATGGATCTAGGAAATTCTTGCCAAACATCCATGCCTTACTGTCTCTTCCAAATTTTAAAAGTTTTTAATCTTTTAAGAATTAATCTATAAAATGACAAAGCACAGATTATGGTGGATACCTCATCAGCAGAATTGTGTTTTGGGAGCCACTAAATTTAAAACTGTTGTGTGGCACTTTGCCCTTGACCTGTATCACTCAGAAAGCCAAGCATGCACACATGACTGAGAGGCCTGTCAGTAAGAGAAACACTGAGTAACAACTTAAAGTTGCATAATTGATAAAAGCAGACACCTGAAGCTTCCTTCTTTTTTGAGACACCTCTTAAAGTGCTTGCACACTGGCAATTATTGAAGTTTTGTTATCTTTCATCCCCAAACTGTGAGAAATTAAAATAGCAGTTTATTGATTTGTTTTGATTTTCTGGTCAGGGAATTGTTCTCCCCTTCCTTGTCGTTATTGTCTGACTTTTGCTTTCTTTTAGGACTTTGAAATTTTCTTCTTTGTACAGTAACAGATTCAGAACCTCTTATGGTTTGAAAATTAGCAGTGCAAATGAGGCATTTCCATTTTATTTAAAACAAACTCTGCCAACACTTACAGAGATCTGCAGAAAGGCTGTCATCTGCAGGGCACCCTTTGGCAGCAGCATCGGTCTGATGGCTGCCCCGTTGTGATTCTGCCACCAGATCAAGGGCTTGGCAAGCAGAGGAGCAGCACAGGTTGGCACAGGGAGGAGAGAGAAGGGGAAGGAGAAGGGACGAGGGCCCTGGAGGATGGGGTGAGCATGAGGTGCTCTGGCCCCCCCTGCCCAAACCACATATCGCTCCTGTCAGCTGACATGATTACTCCATTCTGGACTTACGAGGCAAAGGAGTGGTGAGGGTACTGGCTGGGTGGCTGGCTTAGCACACAGACAGCAGAACAAGCTGAGGTAGATGCCTCTACCATGACAGCAAAAGTCAGGTTACTAACACTGCCATGCTCCTTGCAGACCTGTATCCCCTGC